TTTGTGTCTCAACTGACCTTAATTTCAATTTTTGTTTTGCTAGTTTTATCTGTATTTTGAGGCCATGTCGGTTTTAGGCTATAGTAATTTGCATAGTCATGAGCAATACTGTAATGTAATCCAAGGTACTGAACCTCTACGTTGCATAAGCACAAAAATTGCCAGATTTTTTCTAATGCAACATTGAAGATTTCCATTTCCTTTGGCACAATATTGTTGCATAGGTATATGGTAATATAAAAACCACAGTCTTGCACACTGCTTTTGCGTATCGTTGTGGGGTAAGGGCAGTCACTTATGCTTGGACTGGTGTACAGGTTTATTGCGCCCCCAGGAGAATCGCTCACAGACTTTGTTTGATGTCCTAGATATTTGATGGCAAAAAGCTACATAAAATGGCCATCAAACTGCAAAATGCCTGTCTGAAAGCCCATGTTATGATGTACATTCTAACCATACATACATGTGTTACATAACACTGTTTCTAGGAAAGTCTCCTGTATTGTCACCCAAATGTGTTCCCATTATTTATCACTGACTTCCTTTTTGAACGCTGCGACGAAAATATTCTGAAATCCTCAGCCATTCACTGGATCAAAAGCACATACCTGAAAGGACATGAGCATGTATAGTAGTAAATTGACTAGAAGTTGGTCCTGCAGCGACGCATAATCCTAACATCTAATTTGTAATGAAATATTGTCCAATAATTAACACCATCAACTCCTTCCTTGGGAAGTGAAAATAAGGGAACCTCAATTTTCCTAGATTTACTCTCATTAACTATTTGGTCCAACAACTAGAAACCCCAGGATTTACCAGGATAAGGGGAGAAAATCTTTTAAGTCCCTTTTTCTCCCTGAGAGGAATTTGTGCTATAAATGGAATAGGTCGGACAAAGTAATGTTTATCCGTGGGGTCAGACAATAGTTGCCATAAAGAGAGAGAACAGAAGGAATGCCAATGTAAGGAGGGGGGTCAGAACATATTTATGAAAAATCATCGCACGTCAAATCCTCTTCTGCTGAAGTGGTGCTGTTGTTCACATCCAACAATAACAGAGAAAATCACCAGGTATACAGCCGAGGTAGGTATCTCGGGCAATCACATAGGCGGTGTTTATGGCATTGTATGAGGTGACGGCAAAAGCAGCGGGGATTTAAAACTTACAACAAAGCGGGGATCATTTGCAGGACCTTGGGGCCAGATTGCCTTTGTTCAGAATCAGCAACTGGGAACAAAATGGTGTTTATGAGGTACTTCAATGGGGACGGTGGGACAGGGCAGGGAATGCTTTCAATTGTTAGTGGTCTCCATGCCATTGTTGGCATATATCCCCCCCTTTCCCCTTTTTTGGGTGGCCATGGCTGGCAAGAGGGAGAGAAAAAACAGGAAAGTGAATGGCTGTTTGTCCAATTTCTGAAGTAAACCTGAGCTTTGCCACTGTCCCAAAGCTATTAAACTTGTCGTCAGGGTTATCAATTACTACTTCCAGATGCTACCTTGGTTTTTTTAAATCAAGTACAGTTCATTTGCTAAGCTAACCCTAGAGCTGTAAGAACAACTGGAGATAAATTTCATGAGCCTCACAGTCTGTAAGATGTGGGCCACGCTTGGAAGAGGCAGGTTTCGCACAACTTTCCTGCTTCAACCCTTTCATCATGTATTCCAGAAGATGACGTAAACTGCAAAATGATTTTAAAAATCACATTGATAATCATTAAAATCAAGACAAAGTGACGCAGATCAGATCATGAAGCCATGCTCAAGAGGATGGACATTCCCACCTTTTGTTGCTGCAAAAATTCTGTCGTGAACCTTCGAAAATAAACTTTGTGAATGGGTCAGGGACTGGTTTGAAATTGTGGTTAACTCTTCATTTTAGGAGAAAGGAAAGTAATAAAATTGAAAATCAATACAAATCAATACCACTCTACTCTGTTGAATGAATTAAAATTTGTGAATAAAAATCACGCCTCATGCATTCAGCCACATTCTAATCACGAAATAGCGTAGCTCACCCATTTAGCAGTTAATAATTGAGAAAATAGATTCAGGGAATATAACTGAAAAAGGCTTTCCCATGTACAATGTTTATGGATTCTCCAGAGGGGGCCGTCTGTAGTTTATGGGCAAAGAAATGGACATGGACGCTGAGGGCTGTTAAAGTCTAAACTGAACTTCCATAAAAAGATCCTGAAAGACAGCATCTCTAACAGACACTAAAAACATGCAGATGTGATTTATAACAGCAACATCAACAGTGACTGCCAATTACTGCAAAATGAGGGCTCCTTTTTATTAACCGTTCACAGTGAGCCACAAATCAAAAAGCAGTTAACTTCACAAGAGGGCAGTATTTATGACGTTGGTACAAACCTCCAATAATGTGTGCTCTTCCACTGACAGACCAACAGAGGGGGTACTTTTATCAACCTGATGAACAACTACACTGCCAATGTTACTACGATTTTTTTAAAACTCATTAATTGTCACTTTTGGCACAATTCCCAAATGAAATTTGATGACGGGGGGATAGAAAAAAGGGGAAAAAAGAAAAGAAAAAAAAAGGGTAACATTTATGTCATCTCACAGCAAGTAGTCTGTCTTTATTAAGGTGAGGTATTTTATAAATAAACATCACAGTGACTCATTAGAGTTTTGTCAATAAAATGTGCATTAAATTGATCACTGACAGGACTTCCTCTCACCTTGTCTTTGCAAATAGTAGTGATGTGGATGAACATGTGATGGATTGGCGTAGGCTCCCTCTTAACTACATGTAAGCCTGCTTTTTTTGTTGGTGATTAACAACCTAATAAAAGAGCATAAGCTTTGATGACTTCCCATGATGCAGTTTAATTACAAATCATCGAACCATGGAATATTTCCCAGGATTCTTTTCCTTGCTCTTAAGTAATTTAAATGGTTCGTTCATAATTTGCAAGATGAAACCTTCAAAAGTTCATGCCGAATAATGCAGTGGGAGCGAGACAATGCAATGCATTTTGGGTCTTTAGGTCATCCAGTTTTCTGTTTTAATCAGTGGCTGAAACTGGTCTTCAGAAAATACGTATGTTTCAAAAAAGAAAAGAGAGAGAAAAAGGAAAAGGAAAATAATGATATATAATGAGTGGTGTCCTTCAAATGTGATTTTAGGATACAAGGTAAAAAACTTCAAGTTCTAACCCTCCTTTCTGTGGCATAAAACCAAGTGAAGCAAGAAAGACACAAAACAAGACCATACAACAGAAAGCCCGTTGTATCTGGATTTTTGACCGCCTAAAGACAAAAAAAAAAAAACTGTTCCCCCGGCTCTTCCTGTAATTATTTTGACATTTATGCTAGTTGTGTTTCCTAAACACAAGGTTTCTTACTACATCACTCTCCTGTATTCAATGCACTCTATTAGTCAGTTGCCTTGTCAGTGGCAAAACCATTAACATCATCTGTTGCCTCACATTATCATACAAATTGCATTGTGAGATGCCCCAATTACATGTACATCAAATAAACCAAAACAGTTGGTCGGCAGTGTAGTTTTTCTGTCTTTTTTTTTTCCATTTCTCTCCTCCCCCCCCAACTTTTAGGCCTCAAGCTATTTATTGGCAGGACTGTGACATATGGCAGGAGGGGGTTCAACTGGATGCAGCAGATGTTGAACTTATTATTTGTTCAGACTTTGGCAAAGTAGGAAAAAATTATTGACACGAACATGGAGCACACATGATTTATTTGCTTTGACAAAGCACAGCTTTTAAAAAAGAAAAAAGCTAATTCCTGACAAGCAGGGATTCAATACTTCTCATCAATGTGACTCGGAATTAGGCTGGTAAGGCTGATAAGACAGAATTAAGAAATACAGGAAACTTGCACTCGTTGGACTGTGATGTAATTCATTCCATTTTACAAAGTATCGGGTACATGTATGACATACATCGGAAAATGACAATATAAGACTGTAATCACCATTTAAATGACAATTAAGTATTCGCTATGAAGCACATTAATTCTCTGCATACTGTCAAGCAGGCCATTCAGGATAACATGTTCGCACGTGGCAACATAGTTCCAGGCCAAAGAGCTGCACAGAATGGCAAGAACATCTTCCCAAGTACCAGAAAAAATCTTAGAAATGATCCATGGCTAAAACTGTCAGAAACCTTCAGGAGCACACGTACACTTTATTTCACATTCACTGCTTGCCTGCACCACATACATTCCCATGACTCAACACAAACGAGTTTTGAGTTGCCAATGCTTTCTACTCAGAGCAAAGATGGCTTACCTTCCAAAACAATTCCTCTGTCTTGTATTGTGTAGACAAGACTGATGAAGGGAGCAATGGGGGACTTCGCAGTCAGAACCTTGAAGACAAATGCCCCCAAAAAATGTTATTTTGTTATCTCCCAACTTGGTGATACAAATAAAGCTGCTTCGGCATTTCATATCAAACATGCAAGGAAAGAGAAACTTCTACCATTCCAGGAGAAAGAAAGGTCTGAAACAAAATGCTTTTCATGCAACGAATGCAACCTGAACATTTGTACTTGTCATTAAAGGTCTGGTTTGATGCCAGCAATATCTTTCTAAAAAAATGGAAGTTCAAACCCTCTAATGAGGAATAATGTAATAATTATGTGATGTTGACTGAACATATTTAAGATGAGATGTAAACTTCTATCAAGTTTGGAACAGAGCCAGAACAAACATGTGTGTATCCCCGTAACTCTTCCAAAAACATAAATAGAAGCATCGATACATTCAAAGCCTTTTGACAGCTTTCTACTGTAGTATTGTTTTAACAAATAGTTTGTACACTATTTACAAAGTAAATATTTCTTTTATCTGTTGTTACCTGAAGTTTTACAACAAACATCACTTACGCTTCCAAATGGAACTGTCCATGATTAAATGTCACTGCATTTGTCAAAATAGTAATGACGAACACCTTTGGCGAGCATATGGTTCAATCTGTATACAGCGAGAGAGACGCAAGGGGGAGGGAGGAGAGAGCTGACGGGACTCAGGCGGCTTGACCATAAGGTTATTGACTCCTCCGTAGTTACTGATTTTAGATCATGACAACAGCCATTCAGCTCTGGAAACTGAACCAACACACAGTACTCCCACACACACATACAACTGGGATTGAATATCCCTATGATTTGTCCAAATATGGCTAGTTTTATTTTCAGAAATATGTATCTCAACAGAGGTGTGAATTCCAATTTGTAAAATGCAGTAAAGTTGCTGTACTGACAATAAACTCTGCAGAATAGAACACAAGAATGGCAAAATTTCTTGTGTGATTTTCCATGGTTCCGATGAATATTTTGCATGGTTCTAATGAATCTGCAAAGACTCGATGCTTTGCAAGTAGTATGCTCTGGTACCATCAACACTTTCCCGTCAATGAAGGTATTTGGCTGAAAATGTGAAGCACTCTTAAAACCCATTTGTTCTGATTTCATTAAATAATTTCAAGTTTGGCCGACTTGTTCACAGTGCTTTGAGTCTTTTATTTATTAACTGCTTTCAGCTAATTTTGTAGGAGCCCATATTCAAAAAAAAGAAGGAAAAAAGGTAAGGGTCCAATGGAAAGGTGAACTAATACCACGGAACATATCAAGAGACCAATCCAAATTTTAAGATGAGGTTGAAATATTCTACAGCAAAATTAACATGAAACACGGGGAGTATGGTAGGAATTTCAACAAACAATTTCACTTGATTTCCATCTTTTAAGGATTTAAATGAATTGAAACTACTGAATACTTTTACCATTCCACAGACGCTTTGACCTTTGGGAGAAAAACATGGAAAAATGACACCTTGAATAAACTTTCCTCTAAAGACAAGCGTAAATCTAGCACAACCTGAATCAAAGAGAAAGACTTGTCAAGGCTGACTAAACGACTGGATGACCATAAAGAAACAACACTGGAGAGAACTAGACAAGTGGGTTATTTAGTCAGATTTTTTTGTTCCTGTTCTGGTTATCCTGTGATCCTGCAGTTGTGCTGCATATTTCATTTTGACTGTTCCAATCTCAAAATCTCGTTGAACCAACATCCCAGCTATGACTTCTGCTCACTGACGAAACAGCTGGGAGAGATGAGAAAAACGTTGACGTCACAGCAATTGCTAGGCCCAATTGTGAGTGTGTGTCTGCATGGGGGGCGGGGTTGGCAGATTTGTATGGTTGCCTTTCTATGGGATGTCAGTTTGCCAGGGAAGAGTACATGAATTCTAAGAGGACTGCGACGAGAGTGTGGAAAGCTCGACATTGTTCATATTGGGGGGTAGGCATCATGGAAAAATGGATCTGCACAAGAAAGACATTTTCTGTAACCTGGGGCTTTGAGGAACTAGAACAGTTGAAGGTGGCTTGCACTTGAAAGAAAATCTCTCCAGATATTCTAGTTAAACAACCTTAGTTTTATGGACTTGCATACTGATGGCAGTATGTACGTGTTTGGATTATGGTTCACATTCTCTGCAGAAAAAAAAAAGCACCATGGCTTGGTGGTTAATTTTCTCACTGCTAAAGTGACTAGTTGTGCAAACAAATACATGTGATAACTACGCGTAACAACGAGTACTAATAATTAATATCATTGCTTCTTATTGCATTATGAAGTATATTTTCTTCACAGCTGACTCACAAGTACCATGTATTGACTGTGACTCTTCAGGTGATTGAGCAATCTCTGTTGGAAACTGATGTCCACTTGCACAAATGTTTTATGGAAATTGGCAATTATATCCACATGTAGAGGCAAACCCTGGACTCAGAGTTCAGTTACGAAGCTAAATTTACTGTTGCTTCTCTTGGAAAAAAAGCCTCCCAATATCCACAAAATTTGACAAGCTTTTCTGAATTTCTCACAAACATATTTTGTTCCTTTTTATCAATTTAAAACGCCTTTAATTTCCCCCCTTTCTAGACTGCAAACAACGTTGTCTTCTAGTTCATGACACTATCATGCTAATGAACACGTTTATTTTTCTGCCCACACTCCAATTTTGATTTATGCATCCATTGTTTCTTTTTCGGATATTTTTATATGCACTTTTTTTTTACATTTATGGTCTCAATATCAACAAGATTGAGAAATTATTTAACAGTTGTTAGAACTGCTCGGTGTTGAGTTGCCAATGTACTATTTATGCAAATTATTCAGAAGATAGTGTACTATTATTGGGCATAGGAGATGGAGTTTTTTTTATCTAAAATCAGTTGATGACTTCAAACGGCACTTGCAGTGAAGTCAGTAAACATCAATGTTCTATTCCTATTCCCTCAAAAGCAAATCTGCAGGCGTCTTCTCTCAAGATTAATCAAGCGCCTGATCCTATAAACCCAGCCTAGTCATAACCCGCTCTAACCACCCCTCTTCACTTCAGCAGAAGACCATTATTAACACACTCAGACTGACGTCAGTGCTGGTTATCAAAAACGATAAAATTTCACCCAATATTCCGTTAAACCCGATACAATCTGCTGCACAATTGAACAAATTATGAGGCATTTAAATCCCAGAGTATAATGGGGAATGACGCAGGCTCGGCCGGGCTGGCGCACTGACGCAGGCTGAGCCGAGTACCCTGCCTGCTGCCCGGCACAGTAGCCAGGACATAATAGGATGACTGGAACATTTTACGGCTTAACACCAGATGATGAGGGCAGCACAGGCCCGCCACAAAAAGGTCAGTGGGATACGGTTACACAGTAGCAACAATGACTCTTGGGGAGATTGTTCAAGTGCCCGGCACCAGGTTGACTCGTGCACAGTGCTCTGCACCTGGCCTTACATGAGCTACTTCCACTCATGGAGTTATGAAACACCTCCATGTTCCACTGCAGTGTCTGGCACTGCCCCATTGCCTGATGACACTCAGCATATCCCGCACGATTGTTTGCTGACATAATTTAGACACAGCAATGACTTCTGAGTCTAACAAAGTGAAGAAAAAGGTCTTCTTGTGGAAGTACCATGATAGTACCAAACCAACTCCAAAGTTGGACTTCCAACAAATCAAAAAGTTGCACGGTGCAGAGGACTGAAAAACTAATGACAAAGAAATGGAAAAAAAAAGGGCAAACATGAAAAAGGATGGTTATTAGTTTTGGACTAATTATATAGGTTTATGTCATCACTTCCTCTCTCTTCCATCTATAAGTGGAAAAATTTCCCAAAAAGTCAGGTCCTATTTGATTCTCTTATTATTTTATTATTCTGGAAGGTATCACCCACATCATAATGCAACACTGAATTCAAAAACCCTCTTCAGAGTCTGTGACAGAGGGTTGATAAAGTCCCCCTCATTTCTCCACCCTGGATCATAGCTTAACCATCTCCCTCCCTAACCAGTATTCACCCACTTCCCTTGGATTCAGTATTCCGTTCACAGCTGACAAAGCAGCACCCGGACCAAGGCCAAAATGACCAGTTCACACTCCAAGCACGATTTCACCTCGACACCTTACACGAGGCGTTGTTGCACGTCACTCTCACACTGTGATAGTGTTTTTCTGACGACAGCACCCCGGCATCCTCATCCGGCTCATCTGCAGCCGATCAGGCATTCATGGGGACAGCGAGCATCTCTGTCTCTTTTTCCCCCCCACCAACCTTCAGCGGGAGAGAAGTTCTCACTCCCGTGGCCTAAGCTGTTACATTAAACAATTTCCTGGCATTAAGTTTTGATGAACTGGAGGGGAGCATTCAGTTTTAATTTGCTCAAGATGTATCTCGGCTATGCAATGCCACCATTAGAGAGAGTGCAAAGAATTAGTGAATGTCTCCGAAATGTGATCTAGAAACATCAGCATAATCAGTTGAACGCCAAGACCAATCAACAAAGTGGGTCACACTTTCTTGTTTATTGGAATGCACAGGGGCAAAAGAAAAAAGTACTCCAAACATAGATCTCCTTTATAGTGTACAGGTACAGGGATTGAAAGTTCAACTGCACTTTTTTCTAATTCTAGCACAGGCTATCTCAGTAGAAGAAAATCTCTTGCTTTTTGATGCAGAAATCTTTCGTAACCTTTTTGAAACTGTAGGAACAATTCTTGACAGGCTCAAAAAAAAAAGGACATGACAGGATTGGTGAAAGCTCATCTGACAGAAGACATGGGAGGGGGGAAAACTTGAATAATCCGATGTACATAATGCAGTTTAGGCAATATCTTCACCAGCTCGTGACACTTGAACTATCTGGCCAGAGAAACAGAAGTTGGTGGAGGAAGCACTGAATGTTCACTATTTCAACCTTGTCCGAGGATAGTGTTGGGAAATGTATTATACAGCCAAGTACTCCCAGAGGAGTTGAAATATAAGAATGATGGGGAGGGTGCTAGAGAGAAGTGGTAGATTGAACTTCTTTTGTTATAGCAACTTAGCTTCTTGGAAAGAAACTTGGACACTCAAGATTGAAAATGTCTGCCTCTGTGAAACAGTTACTAAAATGCACAAGTTCTTAACCAGCAATCCTTGGATTTTAAATAGATTTTAAAAGGGCACAAATGAACATGTCTTAAAATCTTCCACACTCTAAGCACATGCAAGCAAGTGGCACAGGACTTGTGCTTCAAAATGGCCCATCATATATTTTTACCTCCTTACTGCATTTAAGTCTGAATACAAGTCGTTTGAACCAACTGTCTTTTGGTCGAGTTCATCACAAATCTTCTCAAATCGTCACAAGAGAAACACATGTCACTTTATAGCCTCAAGTCACAAGCTACTCAAATGAACTGCAACAAAGACATCCTTTATTAATGTCTTACTTTTGGCAAGACTTGTGAAATGACTTGTGATCACCCAACTCATTAGCAGTACAGGTTCTACATACCCCAAACTGGCAAAGTTCATATCTTTAAGTTGTTCAATTTTTTGTGTCCAAAAATAGAACAAGACTTGTCATTAATTTTTGGCCAAAGAATGAAAAAAAAATCTCATCCCAGTTTAAATAAAAAATTCCTTTTCCGCTGTAAAAACATTCAACCCCATTCGTGTGGGCAAAATGTCTGCATTTTTTGTCTGTGTTGATTTGCCAGCGCAGAACTAAATCCACAGCTGCATTTTGCCCTGTCTTTCTCACATCAACAACATATGGGATGTTCCTCTTGATCCTTGTGGCTTTTTTTTTCAAGTTGATGATTACATGAGTTTGTGCAGGCACAGTGTGTTACTTTCATCGGAATGTGCACAATCTCACAATGACCCAGCTATAGGCAGCAATGACAAAGAGTCATTAGAATTTATCATTGTCAACAATGAGTGGGTACCTGCCAATAAACCTTTGCACCCAAAGCTTTGCCACCGTGCATGCAGGTGTGTCCATTTAAAAGGAATTTTTTTTGGCAAGGAGAACTTGACGGCAAGGCTCTTACCTCTCGTCTAGTCTCATCCAGGTACTGGAGAATCAGCCTGGTGTTGACGTTGTGACTCCATGTGTTGCCCAGGGCTGCCATGACATAAGACCCTCCTACACCACTGTCTAAAAAAGCCAAATTAAAGTTAATTTTTAAAAAAATTTTGTTTTTACTGGTTTGTTTTGTTAGTTTTGTATGTTCGTTAATTTGTTTGGGGTTTTCTTGACAGAGGTTTGACTTCTCATCCTCTGCCTCTGAAGCAAAGGACTAAAGTGGATAGCCGTTAGCTCACAAACTGTCTGAGTCATCTCCATTCGGCAATATTAATCAATGTTTCATTTGGCATAATTTGATCTAGTAAGTCTTGAGCCCAACCCCATCATGATCAGCGCTATCCATATTAAAAATGAAATACATGTACGACACTAAAATTTTTGCCCAAAAAGGGAATATAAATATACATTTCACAAAATACTAAACAAAACCTGACTTTCATGTGCATTCAGACAAAAGTAATCTTCCAGACTGTGGTATTTACATCTATTTTTGTTTTGTTTTTCTTTGTTTTTGTTGGTTCAGACAGCACACACAAGATAGGAGGGATGACACCTCGACTGTGTGTGCATTGGTATGAGTCCACTTTGTTGGTCACATAAAGCATGACCAACTCTGACCACGCTGAATACAGACCACAGCAGGCAGCAACACCAGTTTTGTTACCATGGTTACACGCATGTATGAAACTATTGGTCAATAATGCATAGCACCCTGCAAGTGCAGCATTATCTTCAGTCTGATCCCCCACTCAAGAGATTTCCTGACACAATAGTTCCTTCACCTCAGGTGTCTGTTGGAAAAAGCCGAATCGGCTTACAGAACCAATTTCATTCTGATTAGGAAAAATGTTAAACCTATCCCAGAATGCACAATTCATCATCACAGTCCATTCTAATCCATTCCAACTAATGAAAGAAATTGAGGGATTATGTTTGAGAAATTGTAGCGCAGCCACACACTACATTTTCGCCAGATTGGATTGGCCAGACTTGGTAACAGGATCCTCATACCCATTTTGCTAAAAAGGGAATTTATCATTCATATTTTGGAAGACAACAACTAATGGAGCGATAACAGTAACCAATACCTCCAAATAGCTGAGGGAAAATTCAGGTTTTTATCTCTTCTCACCAAACAGGCTAATATAGGTCATGACTCACAGAAAGAGAGGAAACCAGATTTGAATTCCCCAGGGGGATCTTGTCAAGGCAGGGCCCAAACCCCCTGATTCCATAAAGGGATTTCCTAACATTACCTGGACCTCAAGAGAAACTGACTTAGAAAAAGACAAGGGAGCAATTTCTGGTTAGCTACCAAGAACCAAGGCGGGCTAAGCCTCACTAGGCTTTTTCCCTATGTACAAGAAAAACAAAATTATTCACATTTGGGTCAGAGGGCAGGAGCAAGTTAGGAAGACAGAGTAGGGGGGAAAATGAGCTTGAATTTCTATCCCATCAGGTGGTAACTGATTTAAGGATGGTACTAATGTTTAGAGTGGGGAAATTAACAATCTCCATCTGAGGTGCCCAATTCAAAATGTTTGGATCTTTTCATAGACAGGTAAACCAACTACATATTTGCTAAGAAGTAAATACTGGTGGCGTGACCGTCTTCAGTGCTGTGACAAGATTGCTGAATTCTGTGACTCAATTCTGGTCGTTTAAGCCAGGGACTCTCTAGTGGAGTCAATTACTCACTGTGACTCACGTCAAGTCATTTTTCTTACTGTGACTCGAGTTGAGTTTAACTATCTGTTGAGACTCAAGTCAAGTTACCAAAAACTGTGACTCAAGTCAGACAGCTCTTTGTACTTTACAGGACTCTGGAATATAAGATTTCCTCACTGCTCTTTGATTTGGAAAAGACTTTTCCATGAGGCCATGGTGAAAGTGCACTTCATCAAATTTGGGGCTAATTTTTCCTTTGTTTTTTTCCCAGCTCCACCAAGTGAGAAGTGAAACCAGCCTTCCAATCAACGTGATTACTTCGAAGTGAAACTGAAATCCTTAAAAACAAAACCGCAAAGGGAAATTTCATCGGTAGACTTACCATATGAAAATAAATTATCAAAGTTCGTTCAATGGGAAGCAGATGGTTTTGTCTGAGAATACTCCCACTCACACTGAATGTCCTTCAGACAAACACTTGGGACCATATGGGTTCAGAGTACAGGGAGTCACACTGATGAAACTGTGAAGTTTACAATCAAGGGAGGGCACTTGGGTGCTATTTTCTGTCTGCATATCCATCATCAGTGCAGTAACTAGTAAAGGGTGAACACTGCATTGGATTTATGAGCAACCAGGCAGCAATAGATTGTGTAAACCCACATGCATAGTAAGGAGCTGGACTTTTGGGCATATTAGTTCAAAATAGTGTATATGTACCATTAAAGAGCTACCCCAACAGTGGGAGAAAATAAGAAATCTGGTCGTAGAATGTTTACTTGGATCCCATTTTAGACAACTATGCCACATAAATCCAGATTCAAGAATATTTTGGGTAAAAAAAAATTCACTTTTGAGACCATTTCTGCCAAGCTCCATGGCTAGCTTTCGTGAAAGGAGCGTGTCGCCAGCACTTCATTTAGATCTCATGAATACAGCTTTTCCAGGATTTTGTCGACGTAGCACCGTGAAAACAGTTCTCCAGCTGGTGCATGTACACACTGAGCCGACATGGTCACGTCAATGCACACAATTACACGTAGTATAGTAACGCCTGTGCAGCTACAGTTGCACACTATCCCAAGTCTGAGGGGAAGAGGCTTACCGCTTTGAACCCATCGTGCCGCCGGAGCGCCAATGGGATCCCGATCGGGCGGACGATGGGGCCACCGCTGGTGAACGAGGCAGTGAAGAAGACCAAGATTGTTTGATACATATCGCTTGGTAAGTTCTGAGTGAAGGACAGATGTTTTCAATGTTTTTTATTTTGTTATTTTATTCAAAAAAAAAGTGTCAGGCTAGGCTGGCAGCTCAGGCGTGCTGGCCTTTGTACGAAAAATATCCAGGAAACCAGGTCCTGCGAGGTCATGACGTGTTTTTCATTTCCATGGTGGTATGTAATCAAAAAAGCATTTTTGCGTGGCGCCACCAACGGTACAAGCATGGAACGTTTTTCAAAAACCTGCAGAATTGGTCCATTTTTTTGGTTGCATTATTACTATTTATTAAGAAGTCATAGTGCCACTTTACATGTATAACTTATTACTTAGATACCACTTGCGTATATTAAACCGTATTCCCATTTTTTTCACCACCGTTGCGGTTGCTCTTTAATTAAAAGGCCCCAAGTCAGCTACAATGAGTAAACCACAACAATATTCTTAACAGCCTGTACACAGACTAATTGAATTACTATTAATTGGGTTTGACCATGAAAAAAAGAAGCTCACAAATAAATTAAAAACCAATCCCCCTCCTCCAAAAAGCTTATGCTAATCCAATCATTGGCCATCCTGACATTTATACACAAAATTTGCCAGTTTAACGTGCAGATCATACCCAGCTAAGTACTTGTTTTGGTTGAAGAAAGTACCAAGGCTACTGGAAAGAATTCTACCCAGAAACAGTCACTACAACTACACCTCATTCATGTATAATACTGTATTATTACTTATATTTTTCTGTTGTCAATCTCAATCTCCTTCTACAGACTCTTCCCACATCTGTTTCTCTCCTAGCTCTTACCTACCTGCCCCTCCATCCAGGGTTCCTGCTTCATCCGTTGATCCCTGACATGCAGAATGCTGAGCTCTGAGCCTTGTGGTTATCTGGTTGGTCACAACCACCTAGGGAAGAAAACGAGAATGACAAATGGAAGACACACACTACAGATTACAAAAACAAACAAACAAACAACCCCAACACCCCAACAAACAAACAAACAAACACCCCAAAGTAAACGCCAAAAAAATTAAGAGAGGCAGGGGAGATAAAAAAACAAGTGGAATACCCCAAAGCTTTTTAGTCTGCTTGTAAGGAATGTACAAGGCTGTATAGGGTCACGGTGAAGACATCACTTGTATGGGTTACAAGGCATACATGAAATGAGTAACTGAGAAACTGTTTTCACCATGGTGCCCATCGTACAGCTTTGGTGGAAAGCGGTCGGATGCAGTATTAATGCAGTGCAGTGGGGGTGGGGCTTGATAGGGTATCCCCCTTGAGCAGACCCTCCCACTTTATCAGTTAGAGAGAGCCGTGTTGGTGTACGAAACCTTTTTCACCATGTTGGTGGAAAGCAGACGGATGCAGTGTTAATGCAGTGCAGTGGGGGTGGGGCTTGATAGGGTATCCCCCTTGAGCAGACCCTCCCACTTTATCAGTTAGAGAGAGCTGTGTTGGTGGGGAATGTTCAGTGATGCGACTGCAACACATACATTTCATAGTCGTTCATAAACTGGGGAAGTGCATTTTCAACCAAAGGAGCCTCTGTTGCTAGGAAAATTGCGCCCTTTTTGGGTCCTGCTTGGGGCAGATTGTGGAAAAACTACTCCTCCCCCCCCTTTTCCCTCGGAGTTGGAGTCGGAGAGAAATCAATAGGGTGCTTAAAATATTAACTAGGTGTTTCATGTAGTTGGAATACAAAGTGCATGTGAATCTTGCGTGTAGAGCTCAGTCTAGGGTCGCCCATTGCAAGGTACATGGGTGAATGCTGACACCAAATGTAGCCACAACTGCATGCCTCTTCTTGACATGTCTACAGCCTTCTATCTTTTATTCAATAAGCGAAGAATGGCCAGCGTGGGTGTTAACAGTGATGGGAGGAGCAAAAAGAAAAACTGGCGGAACAAGAAAATGAAGTTTTCAGTCGTCTCCAAGAAGTGCTTTCATAGTTCCTAGGTTTTTATTTTATTTGAGAGAGGGGTGTCCCAAGATTCTTCAGCTGCCAGTGCCTGTTGGCTTTTGCTCTGTCTCCTCTCCCCGTCCACCCCAAAATGACCCTGGCAAAACCATGGAGCCAGGTCACCATTGCCCTAATAACTTTTACCAAGAGCCAATTTTATTGGAACATTCAAAAGTGCCCAAATGGGAGACAGTTCAAGAGCTAGACCCATAAGGTAGATTTGACAACCCACATTTTAACCAGTATGATATTTCGGAAGCTCTGGTGGTGTTTCTTGTCTTCATGTTGACTTCAGCAGTGATTAGAATTTGATACCATCACTGGCAATGGTACCAAGCCAACAAGCAGGTTGAACATGTATGCTCAATGTCTCTTCAACCAATGGAACTCTAGCTGGACCAAGAGAGGGTGCTATTTTCTTAGCAACGAAGGCTCCTTTGGTCGGAACTGACCTTTGCTGGTTCACAAACAACTAGGAAATGCACGCGTTATGGTCATATCACTATGAACAAAATGAACACTCCCAACCGACAAGGTTTTTTTCAATCGACGAGGGCGAGCTTCTGCTTGAGGTGGATAGGGTGTTTAACAATTTGTCAATTTGCACGTGCAGACAAAGTTCAAGAATACATACAGTGTGGTGTGATGTCTCTTCAGTAATAGTGTCTCATATATGCATAGTCTCCCATCTATATTGCTTCAATTATTCCAAGGGTGAGTGGTGCATCATTATTTCATACATGTATGCTTCTAACAATTGCATTTATTGTGGTCAGAAATCATTACAAACCATGTAGGAAGAGTATCAGATGTGAAGATGGAGAAAATGGCAAAGCTAGTCTTTCCTGGTAAAAATTAGTTTTCCTTTAAATATTTTTATATTTCAAACCAAACTGATTTCCTGTCTAAATGGGGGAGGGGCAATGGGTACTGGGGCCACACTGGGGGGGGGGATGTGATGAAGGGGATCAAATTGTTGGTTATCTTCAGATTAATAGCATCAGACGATGTTGCACTTCGGTCAACATTTCCCTGAACACAAATGACGTATGAAAACGACAAGGATTGATCTGTGTACGCATTCACCACTCAGAAAAACATGACTGCACTCTGGCTCAGCGAGTGCATCGAGTGCATCCGCATGGCATACCCTGGTATTTTTGAAGATGTCCCCGGCAGAGACAACCATGGGAGGAATTTGCTGGGGCCAGGGGGGACCAAAATAGCCTGACGTGACACAGAGGGGGGAAATGATGCATCGAGTCAGGTGCAACATTTGCTGCCTCCAAAACAGCGACAGCAGTGAATGAGCAGACAAAGGGGAAAGGGGAAAGACACTATTCAACAACCTCTGACCTCATTAGGCAGTTACCTAAACTATTGCTGCTGGATGGTTGCGATAAGAAAATGCAGGCATTATTAACGCTCTTGTTCAAGTGTGCTGGCATTTCTGGGAAAAAGTGAGAATCTGCTTTAAAAATCTGAGCAGTGCCTATCAAAGCTGGAGGCTACTGGTCAATCTGTTACATGAGGAGCCATTTCAATGTGGACTAATTTCAGGCATGACAGAAATTCTGTTCCCAAGGCTGAAAGTGTTGCAACAGGATTTGGAAAATAAATCTGGATAATTACTTACAAAATCTAGTTAAGAGTGACACTGTGCAGGCAGTTGCAACTTCTTACTTTGTCTGGCATTTCTATTCATCCAATTAAGCGTCTACCTTCAGGTTATCAGCTGGTCAGGCTTTCATACAGACTGGCAATTGGAGACCAATGTATTGAATTTTGAAGATGTAACAAGTCTTGAAGTGTTTGCATTTGTAAATAAATCTGAAAACCTTTATTTATCAATTAATCAGCCCTACATGCTAACAACCAAGTTGATCATATTTTGGCCAGTAGGCATCAGTGAAAAAAATTAGACTTCACAGAGAAAAGACATTTTTAAGGAGTCATTTCAGTCTTTCAATATGGGATGAAAATAATTACATGCAGACCAGCTTAGTTTTTTTCCAAATACATGATCTGTATGCAACTAGGTTTTCTTCTCTAACTCACAACACCTACCAGGTTTTTTTTTAATCTGTTAACTCTGACTTTGATGTTCATTTTCTCAGTGAAATTTCACCAGTGAGTGCTTAACGGGACATGAGTAATTATTCCTCGTTCTCGGGAGCTATCATCACATCCACACAATCAGTTGGCTTGGTTGAGAGAACTGATTGACTTAGCAAGGTTTGCTTCAGACAATCATGCAATGGAAGGTATTGCACATGCTCAGAACTATGCACACATGCTCAGTACGATGTGCAAATGCTCAGAACTGGGTAAAAGGACTGTTATGTTTGTCACCACCAAGCATCTCAAAGTCTCACACTGCAGAGAGACAGAGCCATGTATTCTTTGTAGATACCCTTATTTATTACAGCTGTGCAAACAGATACAAAAGCCCCCAATTTTACAGAACAGATTTGAAATCATTAATGGCTGATACACTTGAATGAAGAAGCAGCACCAGGCATAACTTTGCTTTCCTGAGAAATGGGACAGCATAGGTATTTACTGATAAAAATCAGACAGGAGTTTCTACCACAGGGATTGAAATGCCACTAACTGGTCAATCATTAACAGAGAGTTGTGGGTCCATTGATTCGCAGGCAAAAACAACACTGTGGAGTGACCTACTTTCTTTTGAGGACAAGACAATTATGACTACTACACAAACTTGAAGTACAAATACTGAAGGGGAAATTAGCAAAATACGCAAAGTATTTAATCCACTATTCATATATACCTGAGACATCTTCCCTGTTCAGTAATGCGCAACATGACCATGTATTAATATGTCATAATGCCCAATGCGATAATGCCTGCTGCGTAAAAACGCAGCACCTGGATACAAGATAATTTAATCCATTCCTATTGGTCAAGAGTCTGTGTGTGCCACAGTGCTGTATACTCAGTGAATGCCCCTGAAGGCTTGTGAAAAAACTATACCTGTTTATTACCTTAACAAAGAACAAATATTCAAAATGAAATCAAAATCCTATAAGTTTGGATTTTTGCCCTTCCCGACGTGTGTTGTAACACTGTATGCTCAGCGTATGCCCCCGAAGGCTTGTGAAAAAACCCAAAAGCGTACTCGGGTGAGACTCGAACCCACAACCTCCTCCTTACTAGTGCAGATGTCTTAACCACTCAAGCACTGAGCTTGCCAGTGTCAGCTGGCTAGTTCGAATTAGATGTAGCAGTGGGTACCCCGAACAACTATTTCAAAGATGGATTTGCGCCTGGGAGATGTAAATTAATTTTAGATTTTTGCCCTTAAAATACACATTGGGAAGGGAAAAGCCCAAAATTAATTTACATCTCCCCAGCACAAATCCATCTTTAAAAATCCTATTCTGGACAATATTTTGAACATTTGTTCCCAATAAGTACAATGGCAAAGTAAAAATTACAAAAAAAAGCCCAATAGCCAAGGAAAAGCTGAATGTCTGCAAGACTGTTTTTGCATCACATTCTGATTAAAAAAAATGCTGTGGAGGCATTCTGTGTCCCTTCATGTGTCTGTGGAGAGACAGAGAGAGGCTGCCTTTCAAATCCAATTGGCATTTTGCCACAGAGTAATGACAACTTCAAACTGAGTTGAATAAATGCGCCAATTAACCTGTTTCTTCTGGGACACAAACTTGTTACCCAGTTGTGGGAACCACACACATGGCACTTTAATAAATGGTGGCACCAGGAACCATTCTAATTCTGTAGCACTGGAGGCACATACTGTACATTACCCAAGTCGGCAACAAAATGTCAGGCAAGCATTTATTAATACGATCAAGACCACCAAAACCTTTAATAAACATCTTGTGAGTTGAGAAATAAATCTTCATATTTATTCTCTTTTTGTGTGACTTTTAAGGAAAAATCTCCTAGTTTTGT